GGTTTTGGTTTTTATTTACAGCAAATATATTACAATAAAAAAGGCTGAACACAAATCACCGTGCGGTTGTGCAAGGAAGACACGCATGTTTACATCAAATAGGTCTAAACTCCTTGGCACCAACTGAACCAAAATGCATGGACTCAACGCAAGAAATAAAAAATAGTACGTATATTGAGGAAAGTACATTAACAACATATATCTGTGACAAGAGCTTCAATGTAATCCAAAGAGAATATAAACAATCCATCTATGTGGCAAGAAGTTTTTTGATGAACACGAAACCCTCAAGACAAGGATGCCTGGCACGATTTAAGATTTGCTATATTGAACACAGTGACTTTAAAGGAATGTCACGCAAGATTAAGACACTGAAAACACAATTATCATGGTGAACCAACTTGTTATTTTCATTATTCCTCTCTCATATTATATACCCACAATAGTAGAGAGTGTTAAAAAGGCTCCATGGCAGACAAGCACAATGCAACAGCTGGAGGGTTTTTGCCTGTCAAATAAAGTGACTTGCAGTGAGACATTTATGCTTTATGCAGGAAAAGCTAAGATACAGAATGCATGTGGGATCTAAGGACAACAAATGCTGAAAGCCTCATAATCTCTCTTTGATATAATTAGGACCCAGAATAAAGCAGGGCCAAATTATTCTAAAGGAATCCAGGCTGCAATACAGCAAACACAGTAAATAGAGTCAACGTAGTGTTAACCTTTTTACATTTTCATGAGTAGTTGTAAAAACAGAAACTAGTATCTTCTAATCTGGTTACATTTCCTGAGCTTAGTTAAATCGAGAAGGAATGAATGGTATAAAAATCCTGCTTTGTCACCAATAAATTAAAAACCTACACAGCTACTCTGAAATTCCTTTCATGCTTAAAGAGCTGCGTTGCCGTATCTGATACCAGGGCTCTCTGCCTTTCATCGAGGTTCCCAGACAGAAGCACGTGCAGTTCAATTCACTAACAAGGCTGACATTTTAACGGAACTGGGGTCCTTTTGTGCTCTTCAAGCTCATTTCTGGTAGACTATGCAATACCATGTCTGACTGACTCTTAGGAGAGCACTCAGAACCCCTGCAAGAAGCTTCCCCTCTTCAACAGAAAAGTGTCCCCTGCCTCCTAGAAACCCAATCTATTCTTGAAAATTTAATTTCCTAGCAATAGGCTTTCAAGAGAAGTGGCCTCCACTGTGCATCCCAGTTCCCCAGTGTAATGAGCCACTGCACTGGCAGCTGGTTTAAATATTCTGGTGAGGGAAAATAACCAATGAAAATGTACACGGAAAACTGAAAGGAAGATTCTCCGCAATTGAGAACCCACCTTAGCAGTTTCTTTAAGAGCCGACATCAAGCATCGGAGAGAGGGGAGCATTCTGCCCTACGTGAGTCAATACACAGGTTTATTTCTTGTACAGAAAACAGGCTGTACCTTGGAGTAAAAGCCAGGCTTTAAGAATACACTGAGAGTATGGGTAATTACAATGCTGGTCTTGGACAGATTAGAACAGTGTTTATATTAAAATAAACTGGACTAGTCAGGGGCACGTAAGATTTTCAGACATGTAGGGCGGTAAAACAAAGTCACTTGTCAATTTTTTTTCCTTTTACAATATGATTATACTGTGATTTTGATTCTTGGTGCACAGGAAAGGGAGACAAAAAGTTTAACTCCATAATTTAATTCTCTGTAGAGCATTTGTACAGCTACCAAAGCAGACAGAGAACATCTGTAACTTTTCTGCCAGAGTACCAGCTATTCCCATAAGACTTCTACTGAATTTTCTCTTTTCTGCCCATAAAAATCCTTTCAAATCCCAAACCCTACAGACCAAGTAACATAAGGATAGTTTCAAGAAAATGCATTTGTTCCACCTGGACTAGCCATTAATTTGGTTATCTCCTCACTCTCTGCATGGGCATCTGTAGTCAACACACCCATTGCAGAAATATTGCTATGCAAATCTCAGCAAGATCAACTAGATGCCTCCTAGCCAAAGGATCACACCAAGCAGCTAAGCTAATAATAAACTGTCTGAAGAAATCCACTGTAGATTCAAGAACGTGAAGCTGCACCTATGTCATCTTTCACTACATGATCTTCTACTGGTGGAAAGGAAGGTTAAAAGTCTCTGGCCCTTTTTAACGGTTGCTGGGAGTCAATTTCCATCTCCATCATCCCAAACAGTGGTAATCAAGGGAGACCCCAGATCTCCTTCCCCCAGGGAAGAGCACCAATATCTATCTTCCCTTTTTTGCATACCACATTCTTTTAATTTTCTACTCAGAATTGGGGAAGGAAAGAGGAGAGTGGTGCTACTGTGATAACTACTCCACCAACGGATGAACAGACTGCTTCTTGATGGCACGTGGGATGGTAGCAGTGCAGTTCACAGAAGGCTGTTTTAATAAGAGATATCTGTCCAATTTTCCCTGGTCTAGTTTGATTCTCACAGGTGGTGCAGAGTCCTTCACCCCCAAAATGCTCCTGTCTCTCTCAACATTAAAAGCTGTGATTTAAAGCATTTAAGTTTCTGTTGACCTCAGTGAATCAGGCCCAAGTGGTGGTGGGGACAGTGAGGACAGAGGGGAAAAGAACTGAACTGGTCAATACCAAGTCTGATTTTGACCCACAGTCCTTGGATTCAGATGGGCTGGTCTGTTGGGTTTGGGATCAAAGAGATTAGTCGGTTGAAACAGAGGATCTCAGAAGAACATACTTTTAACAGTACTGCCATATCATTTGTTGTAGAAAAATGGAATTTGAACCAAGTCAATCAGATTGCTCTATGGTGACCTTTCATTTATCAGTAAAGAGTTAAATAAATAAAATTAAATTAAATTAAAATTCAGTCAAAGCACCAACTAGTTTATTTATTAAAAAGCTATGGTTTCTTTCTATTCCTTTTTCTTATTAAAAAAAATACACTAGACAAGCTACTCTCAATTTAGCTGAGTCCTAGAGCAGCCTTATTCTCCTAATCAGCTAGAAAGCAGCATGTCAATAAAGATTCTGCACCAATATCAGACAGCACATCCACATCAGTCCTATGACACCAAAGAAGTCAAGTCACTGGAAATGGACACAACCAAAACAATATCTCCTGCTTTTGTTGAAAAGTGTTCATGTTGTCTACATACTCTTTTGACAATTCATCAGCATTTACATAGCAGTAGAAGAACACTTTTTTGTGACAACTTTCTCTTCTACTGGCAACATATCTTGAGGAACACATGACTCTCTATATAAGTGCTATTTAACTTCAGGAAAAAAGATACTGTCATAAAATTATACAATTTGTCCTTAATTTATTTATTTGACAGCACTGGGTATAGAAGCTTGTACGCAATGGCAGAGTCACATTTTTAATAAAGATTAGAAATATACCTTTTTTCTCATTGTGACAATATAAGAGAATTCAGCCTGGTCTATTCCAAAGATTAATGTGGAGGTTTTCACTTGCTTTGTTATTCTGCTTATCTCCTTCTTATGTTCCTTTTCAACAGGATGCCCAAAGCAGGCTCAGAGATGAGATGTATTGCTTCCCACCACACATACAATCTATACAGGCTACTGTTCTATATTCCTTTGTTCTCTGGAAACATTACTTGTATTAATTCTGTCCTCAAAACATGATCCAAAAAAAAAATTCAAGTACTATAAACCCAAACCTTATTGCTGGGTTATAGGTCAGTATAGACTGACCAGAATCAATGGCTGAACTAAAATTCTCCTTACAAAAGTCAGGATTGTTAAATTATTTTTGCTGATCACAGACCGCTTCTTTCACCATTCATAAAGTTAGAAGAGTTGTTGGAAACCAGGCATTGCTACATGTCTTCTGGAAGCTAACGGAACTAGTAGCCATCATCATCATCCATATCACAGCCATAATCTGAAACACACAGAAAAAAAATTATAGAAAGGCAAATATTCCTGGGTACATGTAAAAAAAAAAAAAAAAA